CCAGGAGACTGTGTTCGTCAGACCTCTAACCATTGACCAACCTGGTATGAGAGACTCTGTGAGTGTCGCGAGACACTCTCCAGTATAGCTCAATGGATCGCTGAGGTGCGCAAACCGTCACCATGGTAAGGTCCAGTCTTTTCGTGACGGTTGGGTATATGTGGTAGGCTGCGTTTGCCATTCTCATCTGAGCGGTATTGAATACTGAGGGTGCAGCCATTTTTTTCTGAAGCGTGTAGAAAATAAGTGGATCAATGTTTGATCTGCTAGCGTAATTGTACTCGTGCTGCGTCTCGTGAGCCGAGTTATGTGCAGTCTAAGTAACCTAGCATAAGGTTCCACATAGATACACCTGAATTGTCACCACTATCTGCACTCCATCTTCAAGTGTTGTAAGCAGTGAGCCAAGGAAGTTGTCCAGAAACGCCGTAGAAACGTCAAAAACATCAATATTATCATCGCCCGCTATCTGCTACGGGTGATGAACGCGTACCCCGCCACTGCATCAATAATTCGCCGCTATACCTTCCGTTGCTGACTGTTCCTGATCGATAATTATACTGAATCAACGCGCGACCTCATCGTCGCGGTAGATAGCATCTCTAACTCCACTCGGTCACCCAGTGCCGGATGAAACCGGTTCTTCCGTTTTCAATGCCATCGGTTCCAGCTATCTCTATGGCTGCATCGGTTTTTTTCTTGCGACACCTAGAGACACGATAGCATCACCTGTGTTTCGTCCATGGGATAGCTGTGTTCCTCAAGCCTGCACTTTCTCTCGTCCCTTTGTTCTCGGCGTTAAGGTATTTTACGGAGGGGGAATCGAGTGGGAAAATTTACAGCCAGTTAATATTCATTACAACCGAATAAAATATCCTGTGTTCTTGGTCATGACAGTGCGAACAACATTATTCCGTTTTAGGATAGACTATGAAAATTGGCTGAATGGCTCACCAGAAGTACCGGCGAAACAACCAAGAATTCTTATTGATGCTAGGCGAGATACATTAGTGGTTAGAGCACGAATTTACTGACCAGAAGGTTCGTGGTTCGAAGCGGAACCCTGCATCTCGACTTCTCTCCAGGTTCGGACATCCTGGAAGTATCTCAGCTGTCGTGCTGGTGGAATGGCAGCTAGGCACTGAAAGTGTTGAGGCTGAACGATCATTTCGAATTGATGGAGCTCATTACTTCAGAGTCAAAAACATTTCTGAACCTTTACTGTGTTTGGAATTCACATAAAAATTTGTCTGAAGTAGACTTTTTGGGCCAAAGTGAGAAAGGTGGACCCATTAAGTTGTGGGTTTGTTTTTCCCGCTAAAATCCTTTTTGGCGTGAAGAGTGTAAATGGGTAAAAAGTCACATGAATTTAGGCTGGATTTCGGCCTCATATTTTTGGTTCATCACACATCAGTTGAGAACTTCCCTTGAATTCATTTGGGTTTTCGGGAGACACGAGATCTGGCTAGAACCGACTTACTCTGGATCCAAGCCAATTCCGTTTTGTCTCTTTTTGAATAACAATGACAAGCCGCCGTTTATCAATACTACTGATGTCATAGCACTTTCCCCAAGTCTCGGCTTTTGGCATTCTATTCCATACATACTGGGATGCTTAACTATATTCACTACCCCGCTGTATCGTTCGATGTGCTCATCTTAAAAACTCCACATGTTCTAGATCTATTCTGGGTACAAGCCCGTCCTCGGCGAGTTTTTTTTACCAGTGCCTACTATTCATCAGCATTTCATGGTTACTATTCCATTGTGCTTCCCTACCCATTTGCATTCATTGGTTTTACCTCTAATCCTTCCAGTCATCCATAGATCACCTTAAGTTTCTAGCCTTTACACTTGTGTGTAAAACATTATTATCCCAAACTGCAAAGGAACAGGAATTTCTGGCATGGTTCCGAACAAAACATTTTTCCTGAAGAAGAACAGAGCAACGAAATCGCTTTGGCGATCTTAACAACCCACTGGTATGGCTGCACACGAACTGCGTCTCGACTACTTATTAGTAGCTTGCAATTACTATTATTAGGTGTCCCTTAAACGAACGTCGATACCTGTTTGTTTATAAGTGGTTTATGGATCCATTCCGCCATGCCAATGAACGCATAGAGATGATCGCACTTTCAAAAGGGAAACGGTCTGCTCACTGGAAGTTAAACGTCAAATTAGCAGCTATTTAAATCATTCTCCGAAACAACCATGAAAGAGGTTTTAGTTTTCGTTTTCTGGAAAGTTTGCTAGGAGACGTTTCGCTTTTGATACAAAAGCTTCGTCAGGCTAAGTGGTTAAATTACGAGGTTGGTCGAGATTTAAGGCGGATGGAGAACCAATCAGTTAAGCCAAGCGAACTCTGTGCTACGTGTCGGCCAAGGGATTTTGTTAGTGTGGGTCACCAAGCGTTGAGCTGATGGAGGAAGCTACATGGATTGGGGTCCGTTGCAGTTCACGTGATAATCCCTCTTGAACGTCGTTTGCATTTTCCGTCTGTCTGAACTATTGCTGCGATAGTTGCGCAAGTTTGGTCGGGTTGGGATTTCCACCCCCTGTTTTTGCTTACAATTCGACCTACGTCGAAAACCACAAAGTCACGTGTCAACTCGGTTTATCTAAGGCCGCTCGCCATACGCTCGCCAGTTCCACACTCCCAATTCTGTCTGCGCTATGATGCTTGGTGATTTCCACCGCCTCGGCTGTCAACCACTGCGTTGTGAATCACAGTTCCTGTTTTAAAACTACTTTCTTTGTCCTGTGCCTAACGCATGCACCACCATCTCTGAGTGTTTCTCACTAGTTGTCTCCCATTTGGTTGTCGGCCGGACGAGTGTGCTACGAATGATAATGTGTATTTGTGACCTAGAAGAGGAACATGATTTTGGTTGATGAGCTCAAAACTGTTCCACCGACACCGCTTTTGAAAACTGTATCGAACTTAGATGAGTGCGTTTTATATGTGGTTTCGATAGGGAACTGGTGTATCGCCACTGCAATATTCGCTAAAATCGGATTCACTTGTTTACTTGCGACTCAGTAAAAAACAACTATTTTCAATACCTATTTCTGCTCTGAAGGTTGAATTATCCGCCCCATGTCCACGCGGGACTTTCATATCAGGATAACTTTGCGATTCAGGATAATTCGAGACTCTCTTCGAAAAGTTACTTTAGGAAAGGTAAACATTTTTTTGATAGTATGTAGTCGGCGCGGCTGTCCAGGAAGGTGCCTGTCTTCATTTCTGTGTTCAGCATGATACAAATAGAATTTGCAGGTGTTTTGGAACCTATTTTTACATAAACTATGTAGAATAGCGCGCTTACTGTCCCTTCAGAAGAGATCGCTTACAGTAAGTACGTTTGGGTATGTACGGGAAAAAACTTCCACAAAAGTAAATTCCATAAGCAGTCTCAGAAAAACAAACAAGAAGTCACAGTATCTGGTAGTTTAATAAAGTATGGCGTATGTAGTCTTCGGTATTACAGTCTGTAGTAGGACTCAACTCCGCTTGATGTTCGTCCTCCTGTACGGTTCTATCGTACGCAAAACAACAGACGTTTACGGACCAGCATAAGGTTATGTTAGTCTGTGTCACCGGGTAAGCACGTATTCATCCAATGAGCTTGTTGAACCGAACATTGAGCGTGATATGAAAGACTACGGCCATTCCACCGCACCGCAGGTGTGTATCACGTACAAGTTTCTGTACCAATCAGTGGCCATTGTAGACTTATTTGGAGGACTGACAAGAGCCTCACGTCGTCCCGAAATTCAACCACTTTCAAGTAAAGCCGAGTCTGTTTGTCGACGAGTAGATTTATATGAAATATAAATTTGTAAGTATAAATGTCAGTGAACATCAGGCGGAAATCTGTTGACATTTTCAGTAGCAAATCATGGGACCAACTTTACCGAAAATATTGAGAATTTCAACCACAAGTGACAGTTTCACAAGAAAAAAACACTGGAACTTTGTCAATGTCTGAATGCCGAAGGGAAAACTGATGACTTTGTTGCGTTTACTGTCTGAAGCTAGTCGTTTTCTAGATAGAAGTTATCACTTATCGTATTCTGTTTCACTCGTAACTTCTCCTCCATGAGTATTGTATCCACCAGATTTTCTGGTATCCGCTCCAAATTTTCTCCTGCTTGGCATTTTGGTGCTAACTTGTAAGAGAGTAATAGTGGTGTATTCCAATCATCCCACGATACCCTTAGGAAAAGCCAGTATCCTTAAGAGCCAACAGTATATTTGTCTATGAGCCATGATTTAATATGATGCTATCGGGGAAGGGCACTCTTCTACGAGAGACTCATGCGTTTTTCCCTAGTGAATTCCTTCCTATCAAAGGATAGCTATGCAAAAAACAAGTAAATTGACGAAAAGATTTAAGAAGTTTGAAAGCTTGTGGCTAAAATTTGGCACCTTCGTTGGCCACGTGCAAGTTGTCAATCACTAGCATATTTGAGGTTTCGTGGTGAACCAACAATTTGTTTAATGGTCTTGGGACACAGGCAGCTGAACATCCAGAGTAGCTTATGATACACCTGAAGCCTCTTAAGCAAACGATTCTCAGGTGGTCTTCTGTTGCTCAGTTTAAATGAAACCTAGAAGGTTATGGCTCATGTGTCACTGGCTATTCTGTGGGTATAATTCTCCCGTGCTTCATAGATTGTGTCAGTTGCTCGATACTCACATAGATAATCAGTTGAACAGCTGCTAAGAGGAACAATAATTGTAGGTCCTGACCAAGCCAGCCTAAGATGCGAATTATCCGTACTAAAGTACACAGAACATCGAGGCACTGCAATTGTAAGCTAACTGATATGCTTCACAATTCTTTAACGAAAAGTTGGTCATTCATCCTCTTAAACGTAAACAACTACTGACTTCATTTATAACAGGTTCAAGGCCTGGAAAATAAGGTCCTAAAACACTTCGTTAATGCGTTTATTAAATAATCCAGACTATTTTGTAATTCACCACAGGAAGAACGATTTTATCACTCTGATGGTTTTTCTGGAGAATACCATCGAAAATAGACAGAACTGATATTCTTACATTCCCGGTCACGGACATTTATTTGAGACACTGGTGGTCTGAAATGAAACCTTCTCTTTACAAGAAAACCGTTACGAGAGATCAGCACCTTTGCACTTCTTTCAATTTAGAAACGACTTTAAAAAATATGTTGTTCTGACCGAGACGTATATGTGTAGTTCTAGAATTGGGAAAACGACTGGTTGGTCGGTTATGTGAGAGGCTGATTATTCGGCGTGTGTGAAAGTTGGTGTTTCAATGTGAACCTCACTATATTTGGTCTTACTACAGCGAAACCATGTTATTTAATCTGCCAGATTGAAACACCGGCACCAAGACAACAACCTGTGAATAAAGTGAACATTCCTCTCGACCCTATTTTTGACAGGCTGCATTATTCCACTTCCGATAGACAGTGATTGACGCCCAAATCTTAACATATTTGTTGACAATAATCCCTGCTCTACCCGTTCTGGCTTAGTAGAACCATCTAAAGTTTGTTACACCAGCTGAGGAAGGAATAGTCTCTTTGCTGAGCCTGAAATGCTGCAAGGTCACACTGGAAAACGACCCGTTACATGAGAGTCCTGAGACTGAGAAGGTACTGTATATATCTGTCGTACACGTCTGTTAATCAGTGCAGTAAATTTGAAGGTGCTTGTTCGTGCAAGGCTAAAACTATGTTGGTGGAACGTCATTCTCTCGATCGATTAGAAAATGAACAGTCAAACAATTGGTGCTTTATTACCATCTAATATGGTGTATTCGGGTTAGGTACATTATTGGCCAAAAATACACGAAGGCAGTTCACCGCTTCTACTCACACAAAAGTGGCTTTCACTTTCACGCGGCACGTTCATCTTGAGTCCACTGATACCTGGCCACGACAAACAAATGGGACTTCAAAATCGCGGTGCTAGAAGCGGGCTAAATCACGCTGGTCGAAACCCCAGTCGATCGTTTTAACGGTGGTACTTTGCCATTTTGCGTCATGCCACCAAGCTGCACAACTGCATTTGAGGTCAAATTGTGATAAGGAGCCCAACAGGTACTGCGCAATGTATAATACGTTTTCTCGAGCATTGAGTTCGAGTTTATTGATTCTGAGCAATGGTATTAGCTGACAACAGCTACTGAGACATTTTGGACGAATCTCTTGGTAAATGTTACTACAAAATACAAAATCCAGATTCAAAGAAGGGTTAGCTCTCAGTGTCTACATGACGGTGAGTCTAAGAAATCGGCATCAACGTTGTGGTCAAAAAGGTGTCACCTGGTAGGGTGAGATTTTAATTTTGTGGAGACCTTGTTTCAGAAGGCTATCAGTGAAGTTTTTAATATAAGTCTATCGACCAAAAAAAATCCCAATTTCCTTAGGATTGGGCGACATGCTTCAGTGAATGCCTTGTTATTTGGGGAAGCGTGCTTCTCTCCCAGCACGTCCAGGTCCATCCACTAAACTTCACTAAGGGATAGATAAACCATTGTGCCCTCATCTTGCTTGTTTATTACCAGGTCACTTTTTAGCGTTCGATTAAATCATGTGAATGTTAAGGTGGACAGCTGCACCTTGTGTGTTTCGCTTATCCCAATCAGTGCTTTACTGTCTGGCCGTGCGTACTAACCAATCAAACTTTATCACTGCCGATCGATTAGTCAACAGCACGCAGGTAATTTCGTTACCCACAGTCGCACAAATGGGATACGTCGAGAATGGGTGCAGTTCTATTTTTGAGTATCAGTAGTTTTTTACTCCTAAACTGGTACCATTGTGAATCAAATTTCACGAAAATTCCAGTACTGTGTCCCAAAGGCTACTGGATTAATGAACCAAAGCCGCGGGGTGGATCGTCTGAACCAAACGTTGAAGATGCAATATGCCAGTTTTGTCCGAATGTCGGCTGCTATGTAGTTCGACGCAAAATTCAGGATGATGATGATGAATCAGGGCAATCAGGGACAACTATGGTGCCACATACAACAACCATGAGCACAACCTTAGCCACTTCACAAATAAACGTCACGGAATATACGACTGAAACAAACGGCACAATTGGGATTGAAAACAGAACGAATGAGGAGCAAATCAATTACAGAATGTACATGTCATGTGACTACTGGGCAAGTCTTCCAAAGCCCGAAGAGATCATGAGTTACTTGGACTGTGTGATGATCGGCAGAAGGGACAAATATTACTTATTCATTTATGAGCCTCGTTTTCAAGCCAGCCGGTTCCCCATTGTGGACTGCGTGGATGCGAACTTCTTAGCGTGGATACCCAACGGAACACAACTTCTCGGACTAGAATTGGGCTTTCCAATGAAGAGCATTCCACCTTATCTATTTCGCTATCACCAGCGGATCATGGAGGTATGTGACTTTATTTGTCTACCACTAGTTTCACATCGTTACACGTGCGTTCACTTTGTTCCGATACTTCAGTAAGTTATCACAACTGGTAGGTGCTCACTGATTTTCATAGTCAGATGCGATCATCTTATCAGCTAATACTCGAAGATTCTGCTGCGTAATGAAGCACTTACCCAAAAATCGTATATATACTGTTTCAATTAAAAACATGACATTTTCCTTCCTACTTCCGCTGACAAGCTAAGTGAGTTTTTATCGCCCTATTTGTTTCGGGAAAGTAAGCACAATGCCTCGCCGAACAGAGAACTGGAAAGGCTAAAGATACCGGAAGAAGAGCGAAAATTCCCAATGGTAGTGCCTTCTGGAATAATATTACTTGGTCATTCCGGTCGAGTGATAATTTTCATGTCGTATGCTGATGAAAACTATGGCATCTCCGTTCAGGCAGAGAGAAATCTGTAGGAATACTGATGCTAATAGTAAAAGTAATTATAACAACGACTTGAAAAATAAAACGGTGATTCATCCTGGATTCAGTTGAGACTCACGTTTAATCCACCGTAATTTCCAAATAGGCGTGCTTCGTCATTTGATCAGTACCGGAGACTACGTCTACCTGTTTAGCCTCTAGAAGGGTAAAACTCGTAGCGAACTATCCAGTAGCAGTGTTATGCGCAGCCTTATAAGCAGAGGTACGTTGAGAAGAAAAAATAACACTAGTAAGAGTTGTTTTTAGAAAGGCTAGGCAATACCGTAATTAAGGTTTAGAATAGTAAATTAACATTTATGCAGGTAGGAAGTGGCCTGCGAACGCACACTCTGGCTGTTCCACATGCATTTTTCTGCAAGGTTTGTCTGATTGCCGAGAATTTTAACGTTGGAGTATGAACAGTTGTCTGCAAGTGGCAGAGTATTTGGTGAACAACCAGTGTGTCAGCTAACTGAGTGGTTTAAGTCGAAAATATGGAGTGGTGAAGGGTTTGACAACCGTAGCCCATCTCTAAAATCTCCATCAGTCACGTAACAACATAACTTGAAGGTGTTTCCTTCTGCAATATCCTTGGCAATAGGTGCCAGATGCAGGAATTGTCAAATGTATTCAATAAGACATTCTGTGTCAAAAGCGCTAGATCATTTCTGAGTCTACCGTTTTCCTCCTACCGAGATAATCTTGATCCTAATCTTCATAAATTTGAAAATAGTCCCAGACCTTTCCTCTCAAGACCGCTTGAGAAATCGCTGTATTTGTATGAACGAGAAGATACTTCGGAGAATGTCGCGATTATGATTGTAATTCCTTTGAGGGAGGACTGCCTTCAGTGGTTTATGATAGACAGCAACAATGGCTTCGTCGAAAACGTTGTCAAAAGGACTCTGGATGGAAAAAGTGCTGTTTAATTGAACAAAAACAAAGGTTTTTGATGTGTACGGAAGCGATATCATTCCCTTTTCCAATAGACATTTCCAAATTCCTGTGGGCTGAGTGGTATGAGTTTCAGTAATGCCTCCCTCAGTTTTATTAGTTTCCTCGCTTGCAACGGTGACCCTGCTCAGTCTCCTACCGCTTAATGTAGTCAGCGGGCGAAAGGATTAATTACTGACATACGACACTTCCTGAAGCACACCGAAACGATTTCAGTTCAATAAATCACCATCCTTTCATGTTACATTGCTCGTAAAAGTTTAATTCAAAAGTGCAGTTTGTCATTTGGTGCTTAGCACTACCATGACTCCAGGTCTGTTATTTGGGTGGTGTGCAGGGTCAGAATGGACACAGTGGCATGAACTAATACCTCCGATGAAAAAAACCAGTGTATCATTTTTGACTAGGATGGGTAGGATTTTTATTAAACTGTGAGAACCTTGGGAAGTGTTTGCCTGTCTATGGCGGCAATAAAGTTGTGCGGTTAATATGGAAAATGTTTTTCTTTTCGCGTTGGAGAAGGCCCATCTAGTGTCATCAGACGAAAGTCTAGATGAGACCTCCTTAAACAGAGAGAACATATCTGGTGAGAACATGAATCATGGGTATTGTCAGTTGGCTGCTTCTTCAGCACGCTAAGCTCACCCTAACTCGTCACTTTCATCAACATCACCATCATCATCATCATCATCATCATCATCATCATCATCATTATCATCATCGACAGCAGCAGCAGCATCAGTAGCGTCAGAGAAGCAGCATTATCAGCTCTAAGAACCGCATATTTGTCGTACAATGGTTATAGCTGCCACAGTTTCGTCCAACGATGTTTAGGAAGGTGGGGTGGGTCATCATGGTCATCGTTCTCACCATCGACAGCACAAAATCAATGTCCAAGCACTGACGCTCGATTCGGTATGTGGCTTGACAGTATTGTTAGTTGTACGCGGCCTGTGATACTGTCGGGGTACCCAAACAACAGCATGGTTAGTGTCCTCAGCCAGACTGTTTCAAAAGCAAGGCCTGCTAGGCAGCGGTGCTTGGCGGGAAATGTCAGTGGATTAAGTTTTTCAAAGAACAACTCGCCACACATATTCCATCATCCAATCTAGATGACATGAAGATAGGGCCGAACTTCTACCCACTGACCAACCTAGTTTGAGTGTCTCTGCGATTGTCGCATGAACATCCCCAGTATACCTCAATGGGTCACGAAGGCACAAAAACCGTCATACCACGGAAAGGTCCAGTCACGTCATGACGGCCCAGACTCATCAGCATCAAACTGGTGAATTTCGGCTTTTTTTGCGAAGGTTCATGATTAATGAGGCTCCACTATTAGCCACTGTTTGCCTTTCCCGTTGAAAATTTTCACTAATCGGCTTGGTGCAATGCATGAATTGTATGCATGAATTTTCTTGTAAACTATGGTCAATTTTCAGTATTCTACTTCTTAGCGGATTTCGTAGAGATGAAAAAGGATTGCATCTGTTTTCCACTGGGTACTTTTCTCCTGGTCCTCCGGTTGTAACTTTCTAACTGTTGCCAAGATCCCACAAAAAACTCAACCGTAATGGATTACCGTTCCATGAAACGTTAAACTTCCCTGCCTCAGCCGCAAGATAATGTGCGGTTTATTGGTTTATTGCAGTAGACCTGTTCCCACAATAAACTTTGCCTGCCGTGCATCGGTGAGTGGAGAAAACCAGTCTACCGAATGCTGCCAATGTGATTTATTAGCTAACCCACCTACCGGAAAAATGTACTTGTTGTTCAAGTGTGTGAATATGCAGGCCATAGATTCCGGCATTCTCGGATTTATCGTAACATATTCAAGGACAGCTTCATAACTACGGAGAGAATGTGGAAAGCTCTTTTCAAATTCCCATGACCGCCGGGATTACTTAGCTACTTTAGCTGAAAGTTCGTAAGAAAATATTCAAGGATAAAACACCCAGCGCTAAATGGACTACTTTTGTGGAAAAAGTGACTAAAGGAGGGACGCTCGGAAAGTCTTCAGTATGAAGAAAGATGTTTTGAAATATTTAACTTTCCATTATTAGTGCATGCCAACATGGTGATTGAAGGATTGGTGGTGCTATACCCTGATCAACTACAAGTTCATCACAGCGTCAATCATCCGCTCGTTATCGAACAGTCAAGTGTTTAAGCTGTTAACCAGGAGCTCGCAAGTTCGAGTCTTCTTGGGATTTTTCGTGAGGTCTACACGATGATTATCAGTAAAGGTGAAAACAGCTGTACAGTGCTTTCCGATCTTTCATTATTGACTGCCTTTCATAGGACTAAATCTCCACCAGAAATGGGACATACGCTTTGCGGCCATTCCTTACAACTCCTGAGGGCAACATATAGACCATACCAAGTCCGAAACCGACCGTTTCACGAAAGAAAAACCAGAAAGGGCTTCATGGAAATTTACGTATTTGCAATACATTGAGAGTGACGTTGGTTTATTCTTGCGGAAAAATATAAAGCTCTACAGTGGTCGTAATTTTATACCAATGTGAACTTACGTGTGGGACAACAACGAGCAAATACCTGGTAGCAGGAGTCTAGTTATCGTTGGCTAGTGAAATAAAAAATCGTATCGTCCAAACACAACACCCTTCCGTTTCCTAGTTAGCATGCCACCTGGGAGTAGCACTAGGGCTGAGGTATTGCCCGGTTGCCCAAACCTAATCAGGGGCACGTGAGACGCACAGGTTGGGTTCAAACCACGGAACTTCTGGTCAGCAATTTCGTGTCTTCACCACTGAACAATCACCATCTGGTGAATTGACGGCTCGTTTTTGTACTCCATTACAATCTTCATAAAGGCAGATTTATGCTGTGAGTAAAATCATTTTGTTATCACATATTTTCGCAAGTGGGTTTATTTTGGACGCTCTATCATTTGACTAAATATAATGCAAGATGGTCGTCAAGCTGAAAAGAAACAGATGAGCTATGGGCAAATTGTTTGTATGATTACACCGTCGCCTGCTTCCCCGCAAAGAATTCATTTGCATCCAGAGTATGTGGCATATGTGCAGCCGCCTCAGAAACATCGGATTCTCGGACAAACACCTTGTTTGGATGGATTGTAAAGTAAGATTTTATTGATTCAAAACTAAAACCTTGTGAGAGGCAGCCCTACAGAACGGTGCTCTGAACGTTTCAGGAGATAATACAGTATTATACATGTAAGATGACTGGGGCTATCGGACTATACACCGTTGGTATTCAATAGGTACCGGGCAGTAGGAACAGACGAGTGAGGGCAGTAGATACTATACTGGCAGCTAGTTCTATCAGAAAATAAGTTAATAAACATCGTAAACTAAGCAGTACGTGCGATTAGTAACACCGTACTCGTTAGGAACAAAAAAAATAGGTAGTGAGGCAGCAAGGAGTTCTGGAAGCCAAAACGAGTAAGTACCAGATGAAACACAAACGTACGGATACGGGAAGTGTGAATAAGCAATACAAGGCAATAGTGGCGTGGAAGAGAGTCAATACGTTCGAGAAGTAGTTCCGAATTAAACGGAAACGGGAGCCATCTGAAGAAGCAGGTACCGGGTGAGTTTCACACAAACTAAATATACCTGCAGCCTTCATCTGACAGCGTGATGAAGCAGCACCTGTTGCGAAGCAAAATCGAAATGTGCATGTGCAATTAAGTACTTTTAAGAAGAAATCCAGACAAGAACTATCAGTTGGTGTGCAAATAAACCGATTTGGTGCAGTAAATAGCGCGCTTGTCTGCATACGAACGATTAAGGTTCGATTCACCGGCAACTCTCACGTTGGAGCGGACGCTCGAAAGTGGGCAGAGTTGATAAAAAATTGCTAGCGAAAGCATACAGGTGACGAAATCTAAATATCAGCAACTAGAGGGTAAGCGAACCTTAAGCAGCAGCAAAAAGCGGGGAACAATTGCCGGAAGCTGAATTACTTTGTGGTAAACAGGCATAAATCACGCTACTTATGAGTGGTAGCATACCACGAACACAAATTGGCTGGCTGAGAACCCTGGATTCCACAAAATGCAGGGAGAAATAATCCTTCGCTTGGTCACCTAGCGTGCTGTTAGGAAATTCGGACAGCTTATACCCCAACGGGTAGGCCAGTGGACTATACAACGGAAAATCATTTGAACACTGTCCTCCAGACTGTGACTCCCGTCCGGCTAAGTCGTTTACTAGCTACCTTATCAACGAAGCAGAACATACGCAGAACATACATAGCAAAACATACGGTTGACGAAATTCGAGAGACTGCACCTACCTGATGAGCTTCAAGAAGGGCGAAACCGGTCGTGGGCTGTCGAAGATTTTCTAAAACCTTATGAGTAATGTATCACTCCTACAAGATCTACGACCTGTTGGATATCGTACCAACTGAAACCTGAGGCGGCCTGGTGCTTAAAAACATCATAAACGAGGGATTCATTTGGGTACCAGGTGAGTTGCTCGTCAAAACCCAATAGACTGTAAATGAGTGCACTTCGCTAATATACTACTCTCTTTCAACGGTCATTGATATCTCGTTATAGGAAACACAATACATCTGCATTGATGGATCCTCCCTCGAAAACAAATCGATTCCATTTGCCGATACAGAAAGGTTCGCTAGCAACAAATTGGTACAGGTCGTATTCCGAAAGGATTCGCTGCGCCGAGATCGCCGCCCACCACGAGGTCTGGAGGCCCCTAATAGAAAAGACTTTCAAAGTGAAGAGGATACAATCGCCTGTCCACACATTGTTCACCCATTACCGGCAAATATAACACCAGATGCCGACTGTCAATTTTCACCTTCAGTAAGTTTACCTCTCGATCATTCACTTTAGTTTGTTTGAGAACCCGAGACACCTCGCGAAAAATGTCGAGAGATCCTGAAGTCCAAGGGTTGTCTTCTTAATAAACAGCAACAACGACTGAACTAGTCAACCAGCGTTTTTCGAGCATGGTTTCCTCAGCATTTTGAGAAAAGCGAATGAGTCTCAACAACGACAGATTCAGATGAGACATTGTTGACACATTTGTAACGAAGATTTGAGAGACCGGACTCACACAGGAAAATATATGTTAGTTTTTGAGTTTAGTGAGTTTTTGTGCACGAAACACGACTTATTTCTGGTTGTTAAGGGCACTTATTTTTACATCGGAAAGCCAAGCCGTCCCTGAATAAACTGGTAGTCTTCCAGATTTGTGACCACCTATTCATTCTATCGAGTATCCTTATTACCGAGTTTACCAAGACCTTGGTTAAATGTACCATGCCCGGGGATAGGTATGCTTTGGGTGCTTGTTGGACACATTCTGTCATAGTGGGAACCGGAACTGATAGGATTTGTAAACTCCCCAGAACGGCAAGAGTGCATCCGGAATTCAAATTGATATCACTCTCGCAAGAATAGTCCTCCTCCTATTTTCGCTCGATTACTCTGGTGAGTTCACACTACAGAGAAAGCGTCAGCCTCGGGTTTCGTCCCTACTAGGACCTTAGGCACATTATATCCTTTGCTATGTTGGGATAAGAACCTCCAACTTTAGTCGTGCGCACCTGGGTACGGTGCATCCGAATTATCAATTCTGAACAGGCGGACCTAATCAAGCTTGAGCGTTTTGAGTGGTTTGTCCGATACCTGACATAAGCCTACCCACACTGGTTCAAAACAGCTACATTTGGACATACAGGGCCGAGGTATCAGTGGGCGCATCTGGAGCTAAAGTAGTCCTCTGCTGACAGCTCTTTGAGGCAAACTCTGGTGTGGAAAATCACCATTGGCACAGCAGTTAGCTTACAACAAACAAGACAATGAGAGAAACTCTTCACTCGCAAGCTAACTTATTGTAAGAATACCTCGTACGTGCAGCGAAAAGCCGCATGATAAGGGTCATTTTCAAGCGATAAAATTATCGCACACTTCTGTGTTTATGTTTACGTGGATGAGATGAGTTTCCATGAGTACATTTAAACCTATGTTATTACGAATAAGAAACGCCCCAGGATGACTTCAGAAGTGGCTCGTTCAACGACATCGACTGATTAACTGGTACTAATACTGGGAACAATTAGCACCTGTTTTCCTCAGTGCCACTACAGCTGCTATCACTGTGGATCGATTCAGCAAGTCACGTTTCTTGAAGTTTAGGCATAACACCATTCTGCACGAGTAAAACAGAACATGTCACGGTGAAGTCAAAGCATTTTATGAAGTCACGAGCGGTGCTTCATCATCCAAAGATATTGCGTGAACTGAACCTTAAGGTCTGAATGATGACACACGGACGTTGGTTGGATGTTCGGTATGAGTATCAGCAGCTCGCCTAGATTTTGCTTCCAGATTGGTAGAAATAGTGTCTCACAAAGTTATCTTAATTGGATGTAAATTTACGAAAATTTAAGGGCTCATTTTTCACTCCGATTGCAGGCATGATCTTGCCACAATAAATCAATGCACAATAAAACGCCCTATATGGGATCGTCCGTAGGAGAAAATAATGCTGCTTATCATCGTTATCACTTGTTGGTTTCTGTTCCAGGGCCTTCCCACCACTTCTGACCGAGTCGATCCTACACAAGCAATTAACAGGTGTCCGTTTCGTATTCAAATCAAGCAGAAAGCCATCAGACGAAGGAAACCAAATACGGGATTGCTTGAAGAACTTCGGGTTCCCCCCGCTTTTCTTTCTGCCTGCCTAATTGTGGTCGTACTTCTGCTCACCCTTGGAATCATCACCGCTTTTTGCATCATGAATGCTGAAAAGCTAATGCTTTGCAAAACACGAAGTCGTAAGCGTCGTGAACGTGAAGCAGCAGTTGCATCCGAGCTGGCGGAACAAGCAGCCAAGGAGGCCGCTGCTGCAGCGACCGTCGATGCGCAGGAACGTCAACCAAATTCCTGGCATCCAATTTACGGACGATTTGGAATGGTGCCTCCGACCATGGGCGGGGCTTTTGGTGCCTTCGCAGCCCGTCCTCTGGACGCGGTCACAAACCAGCAACAGATGGGTAACATGACAGCTAATCCGGGAAACGCGCCTCGACCTACTGGAATGGGCTATTATCTTGCACAACCCAACGCAGCTCACCATTAACTTCAACCTCAGCCACATTCCACGTTGTGAATACCATAATAGCCTTGTAGGTTCGTGCGGACTAGCACGTCCAAGCACAAGTAGACTTGAGCGTCACAATTTCGTAACTTGCGAAGTTGAGGTCTAATGCTACTCGCAACATGCTTATGTAGAATCTGAGGAAATCGTGAAAATTAAAAGCAGCTGGAACAGGGTTGGAAACCTTTTCGTTCCAAGTAACTAGAGTTTGCTATGTACCGGCATCAATGACCAGAGGGTAACAGTATCATCTACGCATTAAATACTATATGAGAACACTTATTTTCAGTCCTTGTGTTTCAATCCACCATATTTTCTGCAAATACACCATAGGAAAAGCGACTTGTTGTTACCAGTGAGCCTACATGTTTTAATTTCCATGGTTGCAATTCTTTATAAACGATGATTTCGATCTTGCCTAACCCTATAGTGTATTGTGGAACCCAGCAAATAGTTAGCTCCCTAATTTGCCAGTCTACAGTTATCTCTCAGAATGACCGGAGGTACCACACCATTAATATCGCCTAGTGGTGTTTCTTGTCTGTCAAGCTTTAGACCATCAATCCATTCAAAGGGATGTCAAAAGTGTTTTTTTCTTTTGAGAGAAAACTGTGATGAACGGGCTCATTAAGGCTAGGAGAAAGGTATATACAGCCAATTTTTGAACCCAATCAGATTTGGAAAAAGAAATTTGTGTATGGATCTCGTCGACTTAGGATATGTTGTCCCGCTTCTGTAATAAGACATCATCCGACTAGGTGAGAACTGCATCAGGGAATTATTGGCAATATACTTTCTATGCGGGTAATTTAAATGTTGCGCTTTGCCTACCTCTAAGGAAACAACAGACTTCGTCCAACTAGTGGCCCAAAGACAAACCGATGTTTTTCACACATTGTTACTAGTCTCCGCAAGTAAACCACAGCAGGTCCATCGTGGTGCTATATGATGGAACTAGATCGGGGGTAAGTCTATACCGTTCAGATCGAGTGGCTGACGAAATCGGGGTTAGAAAGCTTGAGGAGCTCTTGAAGGTCTCATCCATTATTGATGAAACGAGATGGATTCATTCATCCAGAAAAGTAATATTAAAGCAGATGCAACCGTAGACGAGACTCATCAGAATGAAAACGAAAGAAGCTCTTGCGGCATTATGGATTTCGCAGGATGAACGGTTCATTTGCGTATGCACAAAAGAGCACTGATAGTGATACTGAAAGCGGCACGTAGCTATGCAGACTGCCACACAGTCGTTACTGTTGCGTGACCAGAAACGATGGGATAAATCTCGTGACAGAAATTTTGTATCCATCCTAGTTTCTACAAAAAATGTCCCAGTTGTTTTAAATATTACAGAGGAATGAAAAAGACAAACGTATCTACGAAACGAAGTCCAGTTCTGCGAAAATTCGCGGGGCAAAACATCACAGGACACAAAATTTTTGCAAGAAAATTATTTGGTAACTCTCATTTTCGACCTGCGGTCGATTAGTGATAGGACAAAGCCAATTTTTTGCTCCGTTACCATGCTAATTTAATCAGATATCGACTGGAAATGGTCAAGGCGTTTCTAAAAATGAAGCTGCATTCCATTTACTGCATAGATGTTTACTTTTAAGTCGACGTTTTCACGTAATCATTGGCTTTATCATCGTTTCCCACAGTCTACGTTGCAGTACCAGGCTAAAGGATGGTTTTGTTAAACTAACGCGAGTCCATTTCTCAGTGTGAACAAGCTGGATAATTTGCATAGTCCAACCCGTACGGGCAATAACGGGACAGGCCACATGCCCTTCTGTTTTTCGAATTAAATCTTCACTGCTACGTGAAACTAATTTCAGGTAATACCCACAGAGCACGCGATCTTGGTGACGAAGGAAAAGACGTAACGCATAAACGGTACGACTGTAGCTCAGACTCCAATTCTAGCTTGATCACTGAGACGGAGGTTGGCCGAAAATTTTGTGACCAAGATTTGGAGATTAAGGTTGGTATTATATGCCCCACTAGTCAGTTACATACGACATAAAGTAATATTGTCCAACTACTTGTGGGTTCGCATTTGTTGACGGTGTCGTGAGATGTGCACTTCCGATCGTAGAGATTAACTCAGTTTGCAAAAGGAATGAAAGATCTGAAAAGTTTAGATCTCTGCACTACTGACAAACGAATAAGTCATATCATTTGCAATTCATGTTCGCCTCAACAACGCTATACAATACGAAAAGAGATAGGAGACTAAGAAAAACCCGATTTTTTAGAAACTAAATTTTGAAGCAGAAGGAGTCGTTAATAGGTTGTAGAATTCCTGGGGTTATGTGAGGATGAGTTATAATTGTTCGAGGAATCTGAGGGCATCAGAATTTTGCTTGGGGCCGGGACAATAATCAGCCCAAATTACCTTCAACACAGTAAGTAGTGCAGTAGAAGCGTATTGTGACCCTAGTTCCCTAATAAAAGTAAGCAAAACATTACCATAATCACGTCATTGTGCAAACGGTGGGCGCTAGGTGGGTGTTTTGCTCTCAATACCTTGTGAGATGTATAGCTCAACGACATAGCGACCGCAAGTGATGTGATTGGGCCAGTTGTTGTGTCGAAACAGTCATGCTATTGCCAAATAGCCAAGCTCTAGTTAGAGGTACCGAACTCGAGTGGGAACTGGACGACAAGCACATTTTTTAGACTGTCTGTTTTCTGTTTTAATTTGATTTCTGGTTAACCATACACGAACTCATGTTTCCGACCCATCACAAATAAGGTTGTTCACACAACTCCATGCACATAAGCCGTGCTTTACTGGAACGCACGCCCCCACCGCGGCTGGAGCGCAAATCCGGCGGTCTACCTGGCTGTTTTACCGAGGGCCTTCCGCGACCTCGTCTTACCAGACAAACCGTACCTATATCATAGTGCGTCCATCGCACGATCCAAGCGACTGTCTCAAAGTGGACTACTGTCTGCCCGTTCGTCTTGCCATCTAGCTTCAATTTACCACTCTGTAGCGAGGCTAGACACGAAATCCGATAATGTAATGTAAGTCAAGACATATCCACTTGCATTTTCAATCATGAAAGCAGTATTACTTCGTGTGTGTAAGAACTTCAAATACTGCCAGAATTAGTGAATGATGGATGAATTCGCTGCTATATGTGTGTCATACATTTGTCGTACACGGCAGCTTCCATCGAACAAACTTGTCTATGTATTCGAGGCCAGCACGTAACTTTGCTCGATGTTCAACGATTATAATCATGGTTGGAAACTCAGGTAGATGCATGTTCTTTCATTCAGTATTTGCCAGGTGTCATCCTAGGAGATGACAGCCAATCGAACCATAATGTGAACAAACGTTGTTGCGCTTTAGGCCATGCAATTTAAAAAAATACTGATAATCTGATGTAACCAGGGCCAATAGCCTTCAATGCTCTGGTAAATTAAATTAAACCCAAATCCCCGTGGAAGTATGCAATATACTTTCATATGCATACTAATGATGAAGACCCTATATGTATTTTGTGACGTGTAGTTTATGTGGCGGAGTGTCTGATCCAAAATCCATCGCAAGGTATAAACGCGCGGACATTTGAAACAATACGGAGCACTTCCAGAGGTGCTGATGAGTTTCTGCAGTAAATGTACACAAATACCAATGGCGGCATAGAAACAGTAATCCAAGATGCGACTTCTCGACATAAACCATATACGACACCGTAAATATAACAGAATTCGAGGGCTTGATTATCTGTTTTTCCATCGTTTACACATGGACGACTTGGAAATGTCACCGACATTCTATCCCTCGTTCTTTAAATAAATACTGTGAGTACTACGCTTGTAAGCTGGTTAGCTCCAGGGCTATGTCTGTCACAATGGCAAAAGGGTATTTTATCACAAAATACTTGTCTGTACCAGGATACCTACTTTCGCGGTGCAGTTCAAAGATACCTTGGGGTGGGGGAATGAATGTTTGACGAATGGACGATGATGCACAACTCCGTATGAACGTACTTTCAAGGCTTTTAAAAACTTCAAACTGAATACCCTGTAGTTCAGTTTACCCCCTCCATTGACGTAATGTTTTACCTAATCATAGCCATGATCTAGTGAGATACTGGAAAACCCAGCTCTTTTGGGTCCGGGTTTGCATATCTTCAGGACATTGGTAGGCACTCGTCTTATGCAATGCTTTTACTCTTTTGTGTTGAACAAATACCACTATGTATGTCAGTATGGCTTAACAATTTGTGGGACTAGTCGTGGTGACCATGTATGCACATTTGTTTACTACATACCTTCAAACCTGAGCATTCCAATGCATGCGTCGTTAATAGATCCAAGCATCAAGGCTTGAGAAATCATCTTATGAGATCTTTTATTTTTCGCTTCACGTGCGGGCATAGAAAAGTGAGGAATACAACCATCTTCTAAGGTCAGAATCAGAAACAAGCGGATTGCAAAATCTTTAGGACATATTTGCTCAGGACATCAACAGCATTAATCTAGGATCGACCTCCACAGAGCAAATGCATGTGTGTGCCAGCCTCATTTCAGAGGAATCTCAAAAAAGTTATAGCTGAATGTGATTGTTGATTGGGACTAGTCGGGAAGTCTCTCGTGAAGTTAGTGCATTAAGAACAAACATATGTACGTATATTTTAACTCAAGACCAAATTAATTGTGTAGTGGGCTTGGGTGGACTTGGAGATAACAAGAATTCTAAATGATGGTCAGCAAAGCTTTGAGAGGAATGGGGGAGCGAATTCGACTGCAAAGCGTCTTGCTTGGACAATCAGGTATTACGACACAATTTTAATTTAGAGATGCTCCTGGCATATTAGATTTTGGTGCTATATATTGTTTAAACAAGCTGGAGGTGGCTCAGTGACCAACATGCAAACTTACTGCCGGGAAGGTTTGTGTTTTGAACCCGACTTCCGTACCTCGACTGCTCCTGTCTAAGATCTGCAGTCTGGCACCATCTGAGCCCTCATGCTTCCTTCAAGTGATGTGGCATCTTTACACCAAAAAGACGTCACAACTTAACCGGGACAGACTATTGTATAGAATCGTCAAAGAGGGATTTCATTAGATGATAATGAACCGGATATGTGACGGTAAAGTATTAACGATTGCTGAAGGAGTTTTTCTTGCGTTTGGTAGCGAATAACAGCTCGTCTGCAAACCAGAAGGCAGTGGTCATAGAATCACACCAGGGAAAACATCTTACATCGTGCCCTGAGAATTTCGTGGCGAAACGAATGGTAATTAGCTGCTAATGATAATATTTTCATGTGGAGAATTTTCTGCTTAGTCCATCGCAAGATCCTGTAATTTCGTCCA